AACAGAAAGGACAGCAGCTCAAACTGAACACCAACTCCGGCCTAGGCGAGATTTACCCATATCCTCCCCTCGAAACGATGCAGTGGTTCCCATCCGCCACAGAAAAAATGCTGCTTTTTACCTGGATGATATTCCCTCCAAAGGTGCCTCGAAGACCCTGTTGCTTAGGGTAGTAATATTCATCATTGGACAGATTCCACGGATCTTTCACTTCTGGCTGAGACATATTCTGATGACAGATCACCAAATAAACCTCAGTCAGACTCCCCTTCTCCATGACCTTTGTTCTTCAAAACACCAAGCCCCTCTGCCCTTCGCAAACCTGTTGCGGTTCCTCCTTGATGACTCCTGTTTTCCCTAAGAGAATTCGACTCTTCTTCAGAGACGATTCCTTTTTACTCTCCTTGGAGGGGGAGTTGGAGGTGGCCTCTTCCTTCTCATCAGGAATTTCTGAGGATGAAACAAGTCGCTCTGGAGTTGCTATTCCCGAAGAGTCGCCTTGCCCACTGGTAGTGCTGCAGTTCCAAGCCAGATCTCGCATTCCATCCCAGACCGCCTCCACTTCGGGAGTCACTCTCACCAGACTATACTCCCAACATCTCAAAGGCACGACTTTCCAATATTCTCGCATTATGACTTTTCCCTAAACAATACATGAATATGGGAGACTGACCACCAACTTTGCTCTCAAACTGCTACCTAGAAGCTTCTAGTCTTGACCTTCCCAACCCTTCTGAGTCCTTCGTGCTCCCTCATGTTAGCAGGAAGCTAACTGGCAGTTACGAAGAAGCAACACTGGCCCTGCCAGCATCATACCCAAAATGAGGTTCTCGTCATTAGGGTCAAGTGTCAAAACGGGAGGCTCCAGCAGCCGGGGCATGGCCTGAGCGTCCCAAATGATGTTGTCCTCCCAGCGCCCATACACCAGCTCCTCATTGTCAATGGGGAAAATGGAGTACCAAGGCTTGTCGTCATCCAGGGTGGCTGTAAAACCTGGTCAAAACGGAAGGAAGAAACAGTAACAGACTTAACACTTATGATTCTAGCAGAGGGAAAAGAGCAAATGTTTGTAGCATTACTCATGTGACTGAAGGAGTATTTCTCACTTTAATAAAGTGTAGACAAATATGTTTGTTGCAGTATTTTTGGTAATAGTCAAAATATGGATGACCAAATGTTTAATAAGGGACTGGTAAAATAAATTATGGCAATAAATGATATGGCAAAATATGCTAACAGTAAAACAGATTATATTAAAAATACAATAATTATTCATAAATTATGAAAACTTTCATGTAAGAATACTATGCAGCCAATAAAGTGTTTAGGAAAAAAGGAAAGGAAAAAAATCTATTCCTTAGATTTAAAAATAAATTTTTTTTTCCCTCTGAATTGTAAAAGTAATCCAGGTGAACTGAGAAAAATTTGGAAAATAGAGAAAGGTATAAAGAAAAGTTGTTTGTGATCTTACAAACCAGAAATAACCACTGTGAACCCCACAGTGTATTTTCTTTTGGTCTGCTTTCTATGTTTATATAATGTGCTTTTTTGCTTTTTTTCACTTACACAAACAGGATATTAAATATGCCACTTCGTATCCTTTTTTCTATTTAAAACGAGCTGTGTCATTAGACTTTTAAGAACTTTGAATGACACAAAATATTTATGCTAAAAGCACAGTACACAAAACTGTACCTACAGCAATGAACTCACCCACATACACACGCAGAAAACAAAAAAATCAAAGACAAAATACACCATAAAGTTAATAAGTGATAATCTCTGTAAAGGATTACTAGTGATTTCTGACACTACTGCATTTTCAAAGTTTTCTCCACAGCATACCGAAAGTTTTTTGCATATCTAAGGAGAGAAAAAGCAAATTCTAGAATGATAAAGAAAAGGGCTTCAGAAACAAAAGCAGACTCTAAAGCGTTGTTAGACCTCAGAAAGATCTTTGACTTCAGAGTAGTTTTCCCATTTTTCTAATGAGAAACCAGAGTCCCATTCTAGCTTACTAAGAGTGTAAAAAAATTATTACAGCCTAGAATCACAGGACTCAGGCTCCAAACGTTTCACTGTCCCTCAGCAGCAGCAAAGATCGCAGCTATGCCCACCTAGGGTGACAGAGACGAAGGGCAGTGTGTCGGGCACAGCCCGCCCAGCAGCATACCTTGCTGAACGTTGTAAGCCATGGCGTTCCTCGTCATGCTGGAAGGAAGCCAGCCCGCCAGGCTTGCACGCTGAGGTTTTGTCCCTTTGTGTTTGACATCCTCCCCATCCCAGATGATGTCATCCTCCCAATGCAGCTGTGTCACCATCAGGAAGTTTTCATCAGCCAGAAGGTCAGTGCCACTGCTGTCCTCAAGTGTCCTACAGTCCTGCAGAAGGGAAGGAGCAGCAAGTCCTTCAGTGGTCACTGGTCAAAGTTCCCACTCCGAATCCCACATCAGATGCTTCATGTGTGGTCCCTGGCTTGAGAGAAGAATCTGATCATGGAGGAATGTCTGCCTCCTCCTCCTCCTAGTCGAGCACAGCACTCACTTCACAAACAGAACCCTTGCAGCGGGGCCAGTTGCCAGGGTGACATCCCACACCAAACAAAAGGCTTAGACGCCTAAATCTCCCACCTAAGAAACCCTATGCGGTATCTCCCCAACTGAAAAGTCAAGTAAAACTGATGTGGCCCTGGGCACACTGACTCCTCTCACCAATGTGGCTTACCTCCGTCATTCTACATTTTGTCACAGGTTCGTGTTCCATCTTTCGCAGTTTGAAGCCATAGTCAAACCCACTGCCATCTTCAGGGACACCCAGCATATCATACCACAGTCGGGCAGGCCCATAACGCCACTCTGCCACTCTCGGTTTGGTATCTGTCACTTTATCTATATCTCCAGTTGATTGGGAAAACTTGGACTCCACGGGAGCCATCATTGTGATCTGTAACAGAACAATGCAGGAGGAGAGGAGGATTTCTCCGATCCCAGATGGGAGTTAACAGGCAGGCGGGGGACTCAGAGGAGCCACGAGGATGCTTCCTGAACAGGACTGGGGTCAGAACACGAACCGCGACAGTATCTCAGGGCACGCCCCGCCTATCACCCAAACTTTCCTATTCACCAGTGGGGATATTACTGTAATCTGCCTCCCCCAATCCTCGTCTACTACAATAAAGAAGGGACAGCCACTGCGACTGGACTCATGAGTACTCATAGTCAACACAGGATTCTGCCTGCTAAGGTGATGTTTCCAGTTCAGACAAACTGGAGGGCACTGATCTGTTCCCCTTGTAGCTCCTAACCCCAGGCCTCTACTTTGCCTACTTCGTCATCGGAGAGACACTGCTCTGGAGGCGGTGGCGGAGCGTAGTCGTAGTTCCACAACGACTTCTGGCTGACTTCTGACTCCACTGAGCACTCCGCCTCCTGGATCTGCTCTTCCTGTATCAGCTCGCGGTGCTTTTTTTTCCTCTTTCTCCGAGCGCTCCGCCAAACGGATGGGACGTTCTTCCCTGGTCCAAAAAGACGTAGGAAGCGCAACACCTAGAACGCAAACGTATTACTATGTCAGAGTCAACGTCAGCTAGAAACGCAGGAGCATCTGGAAACTCCCACCACGGGACTACCCAACTGTCAGGGAGGGACCAAAAAGCGCTGAACTCATAAAAAAAAATCCTATTCACGACATGCATCCAAAGAGCAAAGTGTCCCTTAATAATCTGGACTAGGTTCAAGACAACACTAATGGGAACTACATAAATCCCATGTACTACAATGTATACAACTTAAGAAAAAAAGATGTGGCACAACGTCGCTGAATAAGGAAACCTTTAGGTCTTATCCATTATACGTGAGGCATCATAACAACAGAACTCAGTATTCAGAAGAGGTCAGTGGTTTGCAATGTGGGTATTCTCCACAGAAAGTACCTTCCCAGGCCGAAACTCCGGGAAAAGTTCCGTGACGCTCGGCAACAGCTTGGTGGCATCGTGCTGCATAATCCCAGCCAGTGGTAGGGTCAGCTTTCCGTCCTCGGATTCTGTCTGTGTTGCTTCCTGAGGTCCCATCTCAGATTCTGAGTCAGAGGAACTACTGAAGTCCACTTTCTCTGAGGCCAAAGAGGAAGGGGCAATGATGGAGGGCAAGATGATGCCTTCTCCATCCTCAGACACTGCAACAAGGAAGAGAAAGCCTTTTGGCATGTAACTGTGAGCATTTTTCCTCAAATTCAGCCAACACCCATTCCAGGCGATGTGCATGGCTCAGTGGCAGGGGATATAGTTCCAAGCACCCAGATTACTAGTAGTATGCACCCCAGAGAACTCATTCAAACTCAGTATCTCCCACCATCCCCAACTCACCTTGCACCTGGTACCCTAGGGTTGTGATGAGAGAAAACAGAGACTATTACTACATTTACTAATTTCTGTAAGTTTGCCAACTTAAAGGAATGTGAGCAAAATTATATAACGCTTTTATACCAGTCAGGCCTTACCATGTCCAGTTCATAAGCTGGAGAATTTTTTACCCCGCAAGATAACAATGAAGTTACTTAGCATGAAATAAGATCAATGACATGAAGTTAACTGATGCTATTTAGCCTGCAGACTAAAAGGGAAATGACTTAAAGTTCTAATAGGAGGAATTTGGGTTAACGTAAGCCTCAAAAGACAGAAGGATCAGACACTGCTCTTCCCCAGTCTTCTAGCCTAGGACAGGGTTACTACTGTCACAGACACAGGAAGAGGTGAGATGACCACTGAAGACCCTGCTTTTGAAATCTCTGAATCTGGTAGTTGGCTCTTATATACATTCTAGGGTGTCCTCCCTATTTAATCATTTCTTTTGAAGAGAATCATCGAAACAGGTAGCTTCCAAATACCAGTATGCAGAAATTACTTGGGGAATGCTATGAAATTCTTGGGGGGGGGGGGTCTACCCCAGATCTTCTGAATCAGATCTTCCAGAGGTGAGAGTCAGGAATCTGTACTTTTTTAAACACTTGACGTGATTCTGATGGGCAGCCAGATTTGAGAACCACTGACCTAAACTTTTTATTGAGTGCATACTAAAATACTGTTGCCAAATGTTTTAAAAGTAAACCTTCTCGTTAATATGGAAATTTCAAAACTGTATGAATCACTGGAAATTGTATCCTTCCCCTGTGTGCCTGCCAAAAGCCTGGACTGAGGAATGGAACTTGCTCCTTAGACAAAAGTAGCCAGTCTCTGCTTACCACCGGTAAGAGCATCCTGGTCCTTATCCTTCTTTAATGGTCCTGGGGGTGGAGGTGGAGGAGGCATCAACTTGCAATCAATGTCTTCACAATCAGCATCATAGTCGTCGTCGTCGTAATCTAATAAAACCAAGAAGGTGATCGCCTCAATATCCAGAATGCCGCAAAACAGCCTTGAGCACCCTTGTCACTCAAGAATTTAAAGCACCACATGAAGCACTATATTCAGATCCCTTAAGAACACACAGGAGACGCAGCTTGTCTTCAGAAAGAGATGACATCACAATACTGCCAAACGCTGTTAACACCATGTATACCTCATAAAGGAATTTAGGGCAATCCCAAGAACTGTTTAAAACCTTTGCTCCTTCTCCTGATCAAATCCTGTTTTACTTTTTATTTTCACCCTGTTCAATCTCATAATTGAATTTAACATTCTTCTTACAGTCAGTTTCCTTTAAGATCGGACTTTCTTCTGACCTCCCGAGTCTTGAACACATTTTTCTGTCTACCTTCTGCAGCTGGTTATTCTTTTCACTGCCCTTTAACCACTGGCATCGCTCAATACTTGGTCCTGAACACTCCGCTTTTACTCCTCTACACACTTTTCATTCCCTTTTCTCAAAAAGCACCTTTATCCAGATTTAACCCAAATGTGTAGGTCTGGCTCTGACTTAGCCCCTCTACAACTACAATGCACATTCTGCTGCCTAAAGAACCTTCCCACTCAGATATTCAACAGCTGCACCTCGCAGCACACTGACTAACCGTCCCCTCTTCTAAATTCCTTTTTGTTACTATTAATACCATCTCATCCTCATTTTCCCACCTTATGACTTTAGTCTCCTGTCTCCTTCATCGATTGCCCCAACACATCTTTCCAATCGATCGGTAATAGTCATCATTATAACAACTTCCACTTGTGGAGTTCCCACTACGTGCCAAGTATTTGTAGCTATTTTACCTATGATCCTCCCAATAATATTGCAATGCAAGAATTACTCTGACATATAGAAGTTAAGCAACTTATTCGGCGTCATACAATTTTAAGCGACAAAGTCACAACCCAAGCCTGGTTTAACAACAAAGCCTGTCCTCTTTCTAGCACACTTCCTACTCACTGAGTCTTATTGATGTTTTATCAGCAATTCTCAAGTTTGACCCTGCCTGTCGTTGCCCACTAACGCCCTACTCTAGACCTTGATAACTTTACATCTAGCCCACGAGAACGGTCTCCAAGTAACTCTGCCCCTTTACTTTTTCTAATCCAAACCCCAAAGCACCAAGCAGCACTTCTCGTTTTCATTTAGGAAGGAAAGGCAACTAAGGTTAACAAAGACCTACCAGGACACTGTGCTACGCAGGTGCTTTAATGCCACATGAACCCACAAAAGCCCTATTAATCAAGTAGACATTATCGCCTTTATTGCAGACAAGAAAACTGAGCATTACAAATAAGAAATCCAAACCTTCCAATGTCAAACTAAATATGGAGTTGGGATTTGAACCTATGACATTCCGACTCCAAAGTCCATTTTCTTTCCATTATACCACTCTGCCTCTTACTTAACAACCTACGTTGGTTTACAACCTTTTATGGCATCAAATCCCAAGTAATGCATAAAGATGCTGTCAAATTGTTCTATTCTTGGTTCTTGCTAATTTTGGCAGCATATTTTCCACTCCTTTCAAGAAAATCTGGTCAATTCCCCCCACACTACTTGCTTATTTCTATCTTCAAAACTTTAGACAAGCCATGTTTCCAAACCAAAATGCCCTGCTGCTGCTTCATCAAATCTTGTCTTTCAAAATTTTGCTTAAAATTCACCTCCATGAAGCCTTTTCTAATGACCTTAATCCACTTCCAATTATTCCAAAGAAGCACACTTAGAAACCAAGCTATGTGAAGGGACCAATGTCAGGGAAGGAGGAAGTTAAGGGCATCAATGAAGGCACCATCAGAGAACAAGGGAACTTAGAAAAGAACATCCCAGAGCACTGAGACTCTATCAAATGCAGCATCCTCCCTCTCTAGGTCAGCTCATAAAACCCTCGCCTATCCTTTACCATCCGTAGCCAAGATAATAAAACCAAACCCTAAAAATCAGAGCTGCTACCACCTTCCCTTTACCCTAACTCAAGGTACTCAAAAATGAGTTATGCTATTGGACTTAACTATTCTGGCAGCCCCTCAAAACTGAACATAACACTCCATATAGAAACATGAGCTTGTAACTGGTTTATGCTCTCTCATGACACTTAATGACGCTTTGCATTAACTTATCCCAGCTTCCTCGAATGTAACAATATCCCCGAAAGTTAAGGCCTATATATTCTACCTTTTTCTAGGTCGCTTCTTATGTATGTGGCGCACTTATTTCTCTATATAAGCAGCACTCAAATCCATTAACAGACCCTGAAGAAACTAAGTTCAAGTATCTACCAAGGTTTTATCTACATTCCTCAGCACCCTGAAATCTAATTCAAAGAGGTGAGCAATGAATAAACAATGAGCAACTTCACATAAAAGTTTCAAGCAATGAGAAGCAGCATAGAGCAGTGGAAAGAATAAACTGTGACCAGTAGCTCTAAGTTCTAGACCACGGAACTGAGCTTCTCAAAATCAGAAAATGGATTTTATTACCTTCATATCATACTACCACATATTATGCCATATAACACATACTCAATCCATGTCTAAAAAACTGAGTTGTTGAATGAGTCAAGGTCTGCCACCAGTTAACTATAGAACTTTTAATAAAGTTCCACATTTTATTAAAGTTCTCTAAAGTTCAAGTTTTCCTTACCAATGATGAAATTAAGTTAAGAATATATAATCAGAGACCCCTTCCAACTCTGACGTTGATTCTATAATGCAGCACTTTGTATCAGGGAGAAAAAACCTGTGTTGTGAGCAAGCACTAAGCGCATCGTGTCAGCACATAGGTGGCAAGTGATTAACAAAAGTTGAGCCAATAAGTATGTATACTCTTTTACATATGACTGTACACTGAACCTTTCTTAAACTACCAATTCCTTGAGGCCAAAGACAGAGTTTAAAAAGCATCTAAAACAATGCCATGAAGCCCGTAGCTACTCAAATACCAGGTGGATGAGGAGGAAAGCATTATCATCCTTACCTGGCATTCTTCAAGAATTTAGGAATAACCAGTATGAGAAATGGTGACACTTCCCCAGGACACAGAAGAGGACAGCAGCTCTTAGAACTGAGCTGACAAAGGGAGAGAAGCAGAGCAAAGGCACAGAGAACAGGAACAATGGCAGAAAGCATGCAGAAAAACAAACCGGACCGAACGGCAAGAAAATACACCGGAAATGGTGCCGATGACACCAAAGAATCACCTGAATGGCAAATGGGCTGCAAGCTCCCCATTGTCTGTTGATATCTTCGACTTTCATCTTCTGCTACTTCATTGATGTCTGAATAATCCACAGCATCCTCTGTACTCCTGATCCAGCCTATAAAAAAAAAGGGGGGTAAATTTCAACAAAGAGCAAGTAACTCTCACTGCCTCCGGTAATTCCCATTGAAAAGGACAGGGACAGTAAGTGGCTAGCCTCCTCCCCAACTTTGCACCCCAAGACCCAGACTTCACCTTCATCATTTACCAGAGCACCGTCAGTCCCAGTCAATTCTTCATTTGCTGTGAGTTCAGTGATCAGGCTGCCCAGGCCCAAAGCCCCCAAGCCTGCCAAGTGCTTCTTACACTCCTGAAAAAAGGGACAGCACCAGAGTCAAAGACAGCAGCTAAACCTCGGCTTCCCATACAAGGCTTACTTTCCTGGTCCACAAAGCTATGCCTATGAAAAAAAACTGCTGCAGCGTGCTAAAAGCATCCTCACACTCAAGACTGTGAAGCTTCCAGTAAACTCCCTCCATCAGAGCTTTATCAACACATAACGTCCAATTCTGTCGCTATACTTCATAAAGTGGTGTAAGGTTATGCAAAGATCCACCACGGACACCAAATAAATAATGGAACGGTAGTTCCCCTGAATAAAGGGTACGGCAGCTGAGGTCGCTTTGGATTTAAAGGCAAGAACTTTGCCGCTAACTCGTGTGTGCTGCGGGGGAGAAAGGAGAGGTATTTTCTCCTTGAGAAAACGAACCTAAAAGAAAGTTGGGCACGGGACACGGTGTCACGAATGTCGATGGACAGCGGGAAAGCTACCTAAGAAGTGCAAGGTGCCCGAAGGCCTGGCCCCGACGGTTTGATCGGTCACTGTTCTAAGAACCGGCGCTTGCACATGAATTGCCGCAGGTCCTGTCCCCTCTTCTTGCTAGCGGCGATGTCAGAAACTCAGTTTCCAGAATCGCCAAGAAGCTTCTCATGGCAACGGTTTGAAAGCAACCGCACCAGCCTGATCAGCAAGGAGGTATCTGCCCGGATCGGCGGCCCTGACCTCCCGGGGCTCACCCGCTGCTCCCTCTGCTCCGCAACCTCGCCCAGAACGGAGCCCCTCACTCTTCGTTACGGCCCCCACGATACACTAGGGTGGCATCCACTGGCCGTTCCCTCCTCTCTTATGCCCACTGCACCCTCTCTTCTCGGACCCTCTACTGTCCTCCACCTACTCTCCCTAGTAGCACCAACCGCTTACATCATCCAAGACGCTTTCCCCCTCCAGCTGCCCCGCTCCATTGATGTTGCCGAAAAGGAAACCGGTTAAAGAAAACGGGCCGCCTCCACCCGAATCTTCGTCGCTGTCGGTGTCTGACATGATGGCGGCCGCCTTGCCGCCAGCGGACGCGGGAAGCCACAAATCCAAACCGGACCCCATAGACCGGAAGTGAAAACTCTTGTCGCACAGTAGTGACTCACAGTACCCCTTGACCTTACCGTTTCTTACCGGAAACGGAATAAGGAAAGCACCCGGAAGGGCCGGCCGTCCTCCGAGAAAGTAGAATCGGTGTTACTACTTTACTATCAGCTTCCGATTGGACCGCACGCGATCGGGAGGCGGGGCATCTGGATCGCGATTGGTCAGAGGAAATGTTCGGTCCCGCCCCCTCCCGCTCGCTCGCGCCTGAGCACGAGCATTCTCATTGCACCGGACCTTCCGCCAACCGCCGGGAACGGTCCGGGTAACGTCGTTTAACGACCTGATGGCCGCGAGTCACCACACTGTGGTGCGCGGGACAGTAGAATCGAACCTTCGCTGCTGTCCTGTGTCCCCTCTGCTCCCTTCCGTTCCAAAGACAAACAAACCGTAAATTGCACTGTGCCAGAGGTACCTGTGTGACTTAGCTGTTTTGAGTTGACGTTTTCCCACACAAATAGATTTCCCCCTCCGTTTTATTTCCGGCAATGCGGAAGTAAAACATGGAGTAAAATGAACAGCCGACCCTTCACCTAGGTTCACATTTGTTTACGTTTTGCCAGCTCGTTTCTGTCTCGTTTGAAAGTGGGTTACAGATATCGTGAATCTTCGCCCCGAAAATAAGACATTTTTCTACACGACCATGACACTATTATCACATCTTTAAAAAGCAACATTGCTCCAGTGCCGTTTAACATAAAATGCGTATTTATAGCTCCCCAATTGTCCTAATCGGAGCATTTTACATTTCGATCCAGCATCCTCTCAAGGTTCGTGCATTGCACTTGGTTACCTCCCCTTAGTCTCTTATTGCAGAATCGACCAGCCTTTTTCTTTGCATCGCATGAGAGTACATTGTTGGAAGAATCCAGGCGAGTTGTCTGTCTGGAATATGCTCCATATGCTAAAATCGTCTGATGGCTTCTCCAAATCGATTCAGGTTACCAGAAGGCACAATGTCAGGTTCTCCCAATACTGGCGATGCTCAATTTCAACGTTTCAAAAAATGACCATCAGATCTCTCCATTGCAAAGGCGTGTTTTTCCTTTTGTAATCTGTCAATAATCTATGGGATGATACTTAGAGAGTATGTGAATATTCTGTTTACTGTGACCCTTAAATCCCAAGGGTTTTAGCATCCATTGATGATCTTCACCTGAATCAGTTATATTAGGAGAGTGCAAATTTAAGATTTAGAAAAAATTAAGATTTAGAAAAATCTTAAATTCTAAATTTAAGATTTAGAAAAATCTTAAATTCCTTCTACATTTATTAACTGGACTTATTCAATAAAGAATTTCCCCTTTTGTTACCTCTGTGGTCACATTGACCTCACAGATTGCAAGGACCTTGTCAGGTATGACGGAACCCACGTGTGCCATCCTGTATCTATATTCATCCTGTATCTTATATCCAGCACTCCGGTGCTCTGGCTACATGGAGTAGGTTGAGTCCTTCTCTGACGATCTTTCCTATGTCTAAGGACAATTTTTTTTTTTTTTTTAGGTGAGGCAAGGTCACATTGACCTCACAGATTGCAAGGACCTTGTCAGCTTACAATGCCTTATTTTTTAGGCCTAGAGCACCTGGTCTTCCTAGGTGGTCTCCCATCTAAGTACTAAACTAACCAGGCCCGCCCCTGCTTAGCTTCCGAGATCAGACGGGATCGGGCTTGTTCAGGCCATAGACTCTGTTGACGCATTTTTAATATTATGAGCTAGCACCGTCATTATCCTTTTTGATAAACTGTCCCAAGTTTGTCCAGTGGGAACCACTTCACTTCAGCTCCTGTATCCTTTCCATAGGACCCATTAATCTTTGAGCACTTCCCTTGCTTTTTGGCACAAGGTGCTCTGGGTTTACTCTTTTCATTCCCCGTCCCGGACCTGATATAAGCCATTTCTCCAAGCAGTCCTGTTTTTGTTTTTGTTTTTGTTTTTTAGTGGGGAATGGTGTTTAGAAACTGGGACATCTTTGTATGCCCTTTCAGTGGAGAGAGCTACATACATACATACATACATACATAGTTTATATTAATATCTCCCATTCAAATCCAATACCAGAGTTCTCCCTCACTTTTCCCTATTTCATATTTGCATCTTGCTTTTCTTACAATAAAAACCTGCTTTCCAACAGCAATATATTTATTCTTCAAAATTACAAGACCAATATCACTACCAACAACAAACCCAAGTTCAGAAGTTCTTTGCAGTTTTCTGTCCTTGGAATATACCCTACTGAGGATATACTGAAAATTACTCAAATCATTTTTTTCCTCTGTGCCATTCTCTTTGCATTCAACTTTGGATTTGTTTTTTATTATCCTTTATATATGATTTTATTTTTAAACTATGTAAACCTTTACATGGTCAAAACTATATAAAAAGCTATTCCCAGAAAAATCTCACTGCCATGCCCTCTACCCTATTCCCACCTACTCCCTGTAAGTAACCATTTGCCTTCATTTCTATTTATCCTTTCGGTGTTTATTATTACTTTTTATTGAGGTATTATTGACATATAACAGTTTCAGGTGTACAACATAATGATTCGATATTTGTGCTGTCTGTGTTTCGTTGTGCAAAAGTGAGCAAATGAGTGTATGTGTTCTTATTTCTCCTTTTTCATTACATGAAAGGTAGCATACTATAGTTACTCTTTTCTCCTTGCTTCTTTTCACGTAATAACGTAGCCTAGAAATCACACGGTACCACTTCGTAGTGCTCTTCCTCATTCTTTTTTATGGCTGCTTAGTACCCTATCGCATGGCTGTCCAATGGACTGCTTTAAGAGTAGTTATATCTCTAGGCCAGATAAAGTTCTGCCAAAACCTGCACAGTAGCTGAAATGCTGCACTTCAGTAATGAAAAGTTAGTAGAATACCATTGCTATATTAATATTTAAGACAAAAAAAAACAGGATCGAATGTTTTTGAATGCACCTTGTACTGCCTCTTGGATGCTGTGCTTGAGGAAAAGCAGATTCAATGAGAGGTAGATGGAGGCCTGTAGAATGCGGAAGGGGACTTAAGACACTATAAATATTGAAGATGCCATTCCTGACTCGAATTGTGCTTTTGCATAGATTTACCATATGACCCAGCGGTTCCACTCCTAAGTATGTACCCAAGAGAACTGAAAACACGTCAACACAAAACCTTGTCCATGGAGGCTCACAGCAGCGTCATTCACAATAGCCAAAAAGTAGAAACAAACCAATGTCCCTCATCTATGAGTGGATAAAATATGGTGGAATATTATCGAGCAATAAAAAGAAATGAAGTACCCATATGTGCTACAAAATGGATGAACCTTGAAAACATTACGCTAGATGAAGGAAGCGAGTCCCTCACCCAAATGACCACCTATTGTGTGATTTCATTTATGTAAAATGTTCAGAAAAGAAAAATGGTTGCCTAGGACTGGGGGGCAGGGATTAAGTGCACGAAAGGTCTCTTTGGGGTGATGGAAATGTTCTGAAACTAGATTTTGGTGATGGTCGCATGACTCAATAAATTTACTAAGAAATCATTGAGTTGTATACTTGAAATGGGTGAATTTTATGGTGTGTAAATTATACCGCAATGAAGCTATTTAGAAAACAAAACATGGTTTTCCTCTTCCTTACTAGTGCTCTCGCCAGCGCTATATAAATTACCAGCCAGGATTTAGTTCATTTTTATAACAAACAGGAAGGACAGCGTTGTCCTGAGATAATTGGGAGAGGTAAAGGACAGCCCCAGCCCCTAGAACAGTAATGCCTGTAACACAGTAGGAGCTTGATAATTGTTTACCAAATGTAGTGTAATAAAAGAAAAATCCCCTACAGGAAACTAACTGGTCTGTCATTAGCGAAAACTAGGAAATGTAGCTAAATTCTGGAGATGAACAGCTGGGGCAGAGGGTGAGGGAGCGGGACAGGACCTAGAGAATGAGAGTTAGCAGGGCAGACAGGTCCCTATTCTAATCGTCCGATCAGAAAAGTACGTAGTTACACACAGATACAGTGTTCAGTATGACAGTTACACTCATTCTATCCTTTGCAAGTTGAAAAGCATTTAGAAACCACTCAAAACAAAGAGGGGGGTGAGGAATTTCTTCGATTTCTTAGAAAGCAACAGGCCCAGCAAAGTCAGAAAAGTTTATTACCATTCATTATGAATAAGTTAAAAGTGATACTAGCATGTTAGTCTTCATACAAATTCCTTTCAAGTATAAAAATCAAGATGTCAGTGTATGCTTAGGACCATCAAATCAGCCCAATACAAAACCACTCTCTCAGGCCTGTGGATCACACCCACATTTAGTAGAGGACACAGGTTTCCCCAAACCAAACCTAGGCTTACATTTGGGACTTTGCCAGGCAAAGGGGAGCAGGAGGCACTATTAAAAGCCACTTAAAAGATTTTCAGTGGCTAAATAGAAAGTTCCCAGAGACATAGGTGACAGGCACGTTTCCGGCCCCGTTCAAACATGAAGTCCTGTAAGCAGCCCAGCAGCATCAGTCAGAACAACTTGAGACTGGAACACACTTGGGCGACAGTGCTTGCACTTGGCTGCCCGTGGGGCAACTCAGGGAGCCCGACCAAGGACAGAGGGCACGCAGACCCGCAGGCCAGCTGACACCAACGTCCCCACACTTCTCCAACAGCAGCCCCACTTTCCAAAGTGCTTCTGGGCCTCAGCTGAGGAGGGCCACCCTCACTCTCTTCCAGTTAACACTGCTCAAATAGAATCCCTGCCATCCCCCACCCCCACCCCCACCCAGGCGCCCCTGGGTCACACAGAGGAAAACAGACACAGTACACTGAAACTGAGAAGTCAGGTGCCACACAGTACTATGCGTCCCGGCTCCTCCACAGCTTTCGACAAATCAGCTGGTGTAGAAATAGACACCCACAGAGGACTGCGGAGAGTGGGGGGGTGCTGTGACGAAGGCTAAACAAAAGGAAATAATTCAGTCCCTGGCGAGCGAAAAAGGCAACCGGGGGAAAAGCGGGGTGAATAGACAGTTGACATAGCCTTTTAGCTTCCATCAGTACTTGACTCCTGCTTGACCACCAGGTTCCAGAATCTCCAAGAGTAGGCTTGCCGGATTTAGCAAATAAAAATACAGGCTGCCCCGTTAAATTTCAATTTCAGATAAACGGCAAATAACTTTTAAGTGTAAGTATGTCCCAAATATTGCATGGTGCATATTATACTAAAAAGTTATTTGTAAAAGATTCTTTTCTAAAATTTTAATTAAATTTATTGGAGGTAACAGTGGTTAGTAACACATAAGTTTCACGCGTACGAATTTATAATACGACATCTGCATACTCCAAAGTCTAGTTTCCTTCCGTCACATGTGATATTACTGTGTTTTATCTGGCAACCGTATGTGGGAGATTGTTAGTCTGAGGCTACTCTGATCACATCTTGTCACGGAGCCACAGCCAGACCATCACCGGGCAAAGCACAGACACTTCACCCGCCACAGGGGAAGGTTTGTGATCCATTTAGTTCCATTTCTCAATCTCTCAAAACTCCAGCGCTATTTTGGCAGGATGAGAGCATGTGTGCACGGTGGAGCTGTCAAGTGCTATCTGCCAGGTGAAGTAAGTTTTTCTTCCGTATCGAACAAAGAAGGTCGGAAATACAACCAGGGATGAGCAGCAGGCCCACTGGATACGGAATCTGACTCCTACTGGCCCACGGCAGGCTGAGCAACTCCAGCAAAGTCCTACAAGGGTGACAGCTCTGGGACCTGCGGTTCCGACACACTCCACCTCTCGGAGCAACTGAAAGACCTGAAAAGGCACCCAGGGCGGAACACAGGCAGGCACACGCACGCGCAGGCACACGCACGCGCAGATGTACAGAGGATGGAGGGACAGGAAGAGAGCAAGGCAGCCTTTACAGTGACTCAGAGGAACAGCGGCAGAAAAGTCTGAGGGAATGACGGAACTCCCTGACAGTGACTGGCAGGACATTTTGATTGGCTGGTTGGTTGGTTGATGTGAGAAGGTTAACCTTCAGTGGTATTTCCCTAAAACAAAAGGTGACAGAAAGAAAAAGGCCACACGGAAGCCTCAGAGAGACACAGCTTTTCAGAGGGGTTGTTAATTCCACCTCCCAGGCCCACAGTGCTGTCAGAATCTGACAGCTCCACCTAGGAATGCCAGGTGCTGTAGGCGCTAAAAAAAAAAAAATCTGACAGCGGTCTGACCATCGCATCCCACATCCGTGGCAGCAAGTGCCACACCCATCTCCAGAGGATGGGAGAATAACAGTAATAAGTCCGTGGTGATAAACGTTCCTTTCACGAGCGATATCAAAAAGAACAGGGCCACATTATGCTGTTTTTCATAACCTCCTCCATAGGAATTCCTACTTCCTACTAAGCCAGCATCTCTGAGACTGTTTTGAATAGCACCAAAAAAAAAAAAAAAAAAAAGTTCAGTGAAATAAGTTTGGGAAATATGGCATACTTATCAGAAATTATAAATTCCTGCAGTAGGAGGAACCTGTTCGGCTTTATTTAAATAGCTGGTCCCTGACTTATTTGACCACAGAGCCCTTTTAAGAAATAATCTATCTGCAAGCACCTCGCAAAACTCTGGAAAATGCTGCCTGACCAGTTTTGCAAAAATACCTCATCTCCAGAATGGGAGGAACGCTCCCATTAGCAACACCCCAAAATCACACATAAACTGGTTTCCAAAAATTAGTACATCAGAGAGTTTAAGGCAATTATTTGAAAACTGGAGAGCTTTGTCCTTCTGCGAGGCACTTGCTCAACGGTAAATATGGCCGAGAAATTCCACTTAAATGAAGACAAGCAAAAGCCTACGAACACTACGAGGCCGCTGTGTTTAGTTGTGGCCTGGCCAGGACAGGGAAGAACAGCACCTGGTGTGTCTCCTCTGAGCATTCTGACAGGAGACATACGCACTTAAACTTCCTCTGAAAGCTTCAGACCAAACTTCCAAGCAGCCATGTACAGACTAGCCTGTCTTCGTTCCCCCAAAAACCCAGGGACATGGAGCCTAGGGTTTCCCGAAGAGGCAAAATGGCTCATGCTGGCATCGTTAAATGCTGTCAAGGGACCCCCCTCCTTATTCTCCTCGGGTGCGGTCCCCAAGTAGCACCCCAAGAGCTATAAGAGGACACACTTCTTGGTGGTCTTCTTTGTGGCAGGGTAAAGCACAGCCCGGACAGCTTCCAAAAATACCTCGTGTACCCCATCCTGCATCAGGGCAGAACATTCCAGATACTTCACAGCCCCCACTTGCTTAGCCAGCGAAGTGCCCTGCTGAGGAGTTGTGGGCACTAGGCTCTGTTCCTTCAGCTTCCTCACCGTCTCAAGGTCACCCCGCAAGTCCCTCTTGGTGCCTACCAGCAGAACGGGTACATTGGGGCAATGATGGGAGACCTCTGGGTGCCACTTATGCCTCACGTTGGCATAAGAGGATGGGTTACCAATGGAAAAACAGATGACAAAGATATTGGTCTGGGGGTAGGAAAGCGTTCGCAGTCGGTCGTATTCCTCTTGGCCGGCTGTGTCCCACAGGTTCAGGCTGACGATCTGGCCGTCCACCGACGTCTGGGCGCTGTAGTTGTCAAAGACAGTGGGGATGTACTCCTCAGGAAAGGCGTTCGTCGTGTAACTGATGAGGAGGCAGGTTTTGCCGACAGCCCCATCCCCTACGACCACACATTTGATCGTCTGCATCCTTCGCTTGGAGTCCTGTGTACAAGACAGAGAGGAAGAACGTTCACGGCTGCCCGGTGACTTTAGGAAGCCTGGGCTGTCCGAACATGTCTCTCTCTCTCTCTGAGGAAGAGAAAGACGGGAGGCAGCCCCCCACAGCCCTGCCCTAACGGCACCGCGGGGGGAGGTTTGGAGTTCTTACCGTGGGCTGCTAGAGGGCAGGCTTCAGTAGGTCCCAAAAGCCGCCTGTGAAGTTGTGTGCGATCGCATATGTATGTGCTTAAGTGAATTTTTCTGGAAAGAAGATCCAAAGCTGTTATCAGATTCTCAAAAAGGGCTGTGAGCCCCCAAAGATTCAAAACCATTTGGAGACATAGGTATTTACGTCACACTGTGTCGTAAGATCTGGATATACCGTTATCAGAGGTGCTAAAATACGTGGTGACTCGTTTTAAAAATCGCTATAGAAAGGAGGTTCCCAGAGTTGAAACAAAAGAAGCGAGGCTCTCACAAGGTCTGCGGCGACAGCCTCAGCAAAGGATGCCCCCGATCCTGAAAATCAGCGACACCATAACTTTGGGGACAGAGGCTGGCCGGTGTGGCGCGGCCACATGGAGAGGTGGGCACGAGCCCAGGCTCGGAAGTTGGGCCGCCCAGAGCCAAACCCAGGCCTCTCTCCTCCTAAGCTTGGTGAACGTGGGCCAATTTTTAACCTGAGGCTTACGCGGAGGAACGCACGTGCAGTAATTATTAGTGCCACCACAGGAGGTGCTCATTAACTGTCAGAAGCTCCTAGGACTTCACGACCATTCTTCCTCTACTACTCTGCTGGGGAAGGCAAAAGGTCTGTCACGTGCATGAGACAAGCCGAGGGTCTCACCCCGTCCCGCCAAAGGTCAAAGGAGCACCATCCTCTCGTCCATTTCTTCGTGAATCAAGTATTTGGGAGTCAATGGCGCGGCCTTGATTATCTCCAAGAAGCACATTTACTGTGAGCTCGCATGTTTTTACCCCCATATTAATACCCCAGCAGTAGCCGGCCCTGTCGGGGCCTGAGAGCACTCCGATTTCTTTAGCTTCTTAACTACTGCTCTGATTTCAGACCCGATTCTTACAGCATTAACTTCTTCAAGTGTCAGAACATGGAGGAAAGGGGACAAACTGTAATGTGTATTGGATTATAGAAAAAAAATCTAGAATCAATTAGTTTCTCACTTTGGGAATTTGAGGGAACAGACACGTCCCCCATCCTGTCGTCGTATTAGCCAAGGCGTACATTAGGCCCTGTATCATACAGACAAAAACAAAACGACTCCTTTTGGGTCGGAGTAAAGAGAGCCGGCGGTCCACTAGGGGTCGCTCTCTTCCCATGCAGCCAGTTATGACAGGCCGGCCGTTCCACCCTGAAGCCTTGGACAGCGTGGGTCTCACGCCAAAAGTGCAGAGCATGATTCGGGACCAGCAGGCAACCACCCCAGGCAGTCACTGACCACCAGCTCTGGCTTCGTCCCTGTACGAACAGGCATAAGGGTCCAATAGACAAGGTCGGTGGAAACAGGACAGTTACCAGCACATTCCTTAAGAATAGCTCTCCTTAACTTTCCCAGGCTGGATTCACTTCTCTCTCCCTCGGATTCATGGAGCACTCGCTGCTGGTACAAACCACTTCCCCAGCCTCCTGTAGGTACCATCCCGTCTCCAGCATCTCAGCTCGAAGCGACAGCTTTCAGGACAATAGC